CCAATCGAGAACTCGGGCACTGGCTTTTTTTGTGTAGGCAAGGACACAGGGGCCCCATGATCCCCTATTGCCCAGGGGCCCCATGAGTTGTCAGTCCACACGTTTCGGGGTGTTGTTAACATACACACCTGCAGTGGTTTGCATGAACGGGGTGCGACTGTGATGCGGAATTTGCACAAAACCGCTGTGAATTCCGCACCAAATCAGTGTGAACCCAGGCTAAAATCTTTTAAAAAAAAACACCAAGTGAAAGCGCAGAGACGTGAACCTGTCCCATAGGAAATCACGTTAAATGGACCGTACTGCATTTCTGCAAAACGCTGTAGAAAACGCATATGTGTGAACACAAGATTACAGAATACAAATCATATAGGTTGAAGTTTTTGTCTTTTTTCAACCTAATCAGCTAGGGGTATGTGGTTCTTGGGGAAACTCCCCATCCTGTGAACACACAGCAGACCACCCCCTTCTCGTCCGAAGTCGTCATGCTGGTATAGTAATGTCAGACAGGTTGTGAAGTCATGGAGAGTAGAGGGGAAGGGAAGGAGCCGGCCAGTAGTAGCAGAGGACAAGTCAGTGAGGGAGATTTGCATAGTGGGCGGGGCCGTTAAGAATGGAATGCCATTGCCAATCAAAGGAACAGTAGACTTCATCAGGTCCAGCTGCTGGGCGGATTGGGGCTCCGGGCACAGCAGAGCACAAGTCGGCTCAGCCACACATCCAGCCGATCGGGATGGAGCACAATCACTACCATCGCAATGGCAGCAGCTGTGTACGAGGTCCTCATGTGAGTCAGATGTCGCCTTCCTTTCTAGTGAGCGGATCCCTTGCAGCACAGGCCTGGGGACACAGATGTAGAGAGGGGAGGATGTGCCGGGTGGGAGCTCCCTGCTAGAGCAGATGTCATCATTGTGGGATCGTGCCACGTCCGTGTGATAGAGACAGGAAAGACTCAGGGGGGGGCTCCTCTAGTCTCCTGTCTTTGTCTATTCCTCATCACACGCTGTCATTGGGGGCATCCCCCTTTCTACAGACACATTCATGAAGAATACTCATCTAGCCTGACAATTGTAGAGCCCAGAAACAACAAAAAAAAAAAAGCAGCCACAATCTGGAGCAGCCAATCAGCTTCCAGCTTTCATTTTCAAAGCTAAACGAACAAGCTAGAGATAGAAGCTGATTGGTTGCCATTCACAGCTGCTCCAGTTTTGATAAGCGTTTCCTAACTGTGATTTATTGAATATCTCTGTTATTAGTCATGCATTAAGGTAAACAAATTCTGGAGAGGTAAAACTGAAATGACATTTACTTTGCTAAAGCTGTTTACTAATAGTGTCTGCCTAGTACACACAGTGAGCATGGCAGACGAATGATCGTCCGTTGTTTTTGTTTTGTTTTTGCATGCTAGTCTCCTTATTGAACATGAAGAGGTTACTCAACTTATAAAAAAAAAAAATTCAGAAGTGATGTCATGTCATGTATTTTCGGATGACTACTGATTAAACGGAAATCATACAATCTGGTATCGTACGAGAAAAATGTTTGCGCTTGTTCCTTCAGTTATTGTCACATTAACTGTCATGATCAGCTCTCGAAAGCTGTATACGAATGATCATATTTTTGTACGATCGCTCCTCGTACGAAAAATTTTCTTATAATGTGTATGGGCCTGTAGACAGAATCTGGAGGAACCAGATTGTGACACGAACACCCCGGTCACATTGGGTGCGACTTGGCATGCGATCTGCAAATCGTATGCCAAATCGCACCCTATTGTCTGGAATTAGAGCGGTCAAATCAGTGCGGTTCCGACTTGGTTGGATCCGCATCGATTTCTAAAGTAGTACATGCACTACTTTTGGTGCGATTTGTATAGACATCTGTGTCACATATCTTGCAAATCGCACCTGAAATTGGCATCTCACCCAACTTTGAAATCACTGCAAGGGCTCGTTCATACTTGACTGTTTTACGAACTCTTGCCAAACGCCCCTATAGCATTTGGCAAGCGTTGGTCCGGCGTTTGCAGAGCGTTTTTTAACGCTCGTCAAACGCTCCACAAACGCTGCATGCGCGGTTCAGCGGCGGTTGCTAGGTGGTTGCTAGGTGGTTGCTAGGCGTTTGCCGAGCGTTAAAAACGCCCCACAAACGCCTATAATGAAGTTTGGATGGTGTTACCGCTCCGCAAACGCCCCGCAACCACACGTTTGCGGAGCGGCACCATAGACTAGAATAGGAGGCTTCAACTCCTCCAGACTCGACCAGAGGCGTCCGTTTTGCCACACCACCACGACGTGCCGCAACGCTATCGCTCCCGTTAGAACAGCACCATGTGCTTTAATGGGCAGAATTGTCCGAGGCGTTTGGGAAGCGGTAAAAACGCTTCCCAAACGCCTTTCTGCCGCTTGAAAACAAGGCTAGTGTGAACGTAGTCTAAGTTGTACGATTTCAAAATCGGGCTTGATGTGACCAGGGCAGGGGCGGACTGACCATTTGGAAACTCGGGCACTGCCTGAGGGCCCGGGGTCAATAGGGGGCCCCATGAGATGCCCCTGGTACTTTTTCATAGGCTTTTTTGAGTTTGGGTAAGGACACAGGGGCCCCATGATCCCCTATTGCCCGGGGGCCCCATGAGTTTGCAGTCCGCCCCGACTTCAACCATGTGCATTGCACATGGTTCCGAGGCGGTTGCAGGGTGATCCCATTCACTATTACCCACCGAACACTACAGGGGTTTAATTCCTGCCTGTGCCTGTGGCATGTGTACACCCCTGACCATTGCCTTTGCAGCTTACAATAGAATGTAAGTCACCTGGAACACCACTGCAATTTAAAATTGCGCAATTTGTGTGCAATTTCAGCACAATTTCAGGTGCGATTTCTGAAGACTTTATTCCTACTTGTGAAGATTTTCAACAGATTTCTTGCAATTTGCAGTGTGATTTCCATTATATTCTATGTATGTGAAATCTCAATAAAACTGCAGAAAAAGTAATGCAAGAACTACTTTAGAAATCGCGCTGCAGCAAATCGCAAAAAGACACTGACATATACATTCATTAGATGCGATTTCAGGTGCGATTTCAGTTCCCAAATCGTACCTGAAATTGCACCGGTATGACCGGCACTAATGCAGGCCATAGACGGTTCGTTTATCGGCCGGATTTTTTGGCTGAAAAACGAAACATCGGTCGTTCTGTTGCCACCAATGATTACGAAAATCGTCCGTTTTTTGTAAATTTTTCAGCCATGACCGATAAAAGAAATGAGGAGGAATCGCGAAAATCGGCCGACGACATTGCCCCACTAACGGTGTGAATATCAGCCGATTATTCTTTCGGATGAAAATTCGGCCGATAAACGAACCGTCTATGGTCTGCATAAGTCACCAGTCATACCGCTGCGATATAAAATGCAATTTGTGTGCATTTCAGGTACAAGTTCTGAAGACATTTTTGCTACTTGCGAAGGTTTTCAACAATTCCTTGCAATTTTCAGTGTGATTTCCAGTATATTCTATGTATGTGAAATCGCAATAAAACTGCAGAAAGAGTAATGCAGGAACTACTTTAGAAATCGTTCTGCAGCAAATCGCACGTGTTACGACACTGACATTAAAGTGTTACTAAACCCACGACAGTAAAATCAGTCTGTATATGCAGTAAAACACGCTTGTTATACTCACTGTGGCACCTAAGGGATTAACCCGCAGCATTGTGTAAAAAGGCTGTTTGATCCTGTCTTCTCTGATCCTCCCCTTCTTCCAGTGTCTCCCTCTTTATCTTCCAAGAAGACATATCATGTGGAGTCACTCTGTACATTGTCAGTTTGGTGTGTATTGCTGGAGTTTTTTTTTTTTTTTTTTTTATCTTTGGGAGAGTGCATGTGATCAGCACAGGGCCAATCAGCACTGTTCAGACAGAGGTCAGGGGTCCTGCATCCTCATAGAGCAGAAAGAAAGCTCCTCCTATAAGCTTTAACCAGTGCTTGGCTGGACACTGATAGAAGTCACAAGACTGCTCTAACTGCTGATGAATAAGGTATTTATCTGGTTTTTAACTGTAATTACCAGCTTTTTTTCCCTCCAGTATAGGGGGGCAGTGTGTGCAAGGAGGGGGCAGGAGAGGAGCAGTGTATACAGTGAGGGAGCAGTGTATACACTCAGGCTCCCTCAGTGGCTGCCCTTGTATGTCATTTCCAGTTTTTTCCTTATAACTCCAAGAAGGAGCTGTCATTCTCCCCTCCGCTAAAAGAAACTAAGGGGCGGGGTCACTGGGTAATGTCACTGGATGACCCTGCCCCTTTTCTTTAGGGGGGGGGGGGGAATGACAGCTCCTTCCCAGAGCTATAGTGAAGGGGGAAAAAAAAAGCTGGTAATTACATTAAAAAACCAGCAATGTTTTTAAATGCAATTACCAGCCTTTTTTTGTCACTATAGCTCCTCTCCTGCCCCCTCCTTGCACACACTGCCCCCCCTACAAAGAGGCCCTGTCACTCATATGCAATCACATAGGGGACTATTGTTCCCCTATGTGATTGCAATAAAATAAGTTTAAAAAAAATACACATTAACCACTTGCCTACCGGGCACTTATACCCCCTTCTTTACCAGGCCAATTTTCCGCTTTCAGCACTGTCGCACTTTGACATTTGCGCTGTCATGCAAGTTTGTACCCATATGAAATTTTTATCATTTTTTTCTCACAAATAGAGCTTTCTTTTAGTGGTATTTAATCGCCGCTGGGTGATTTACTTTTTGCCTTAAAAAAAAAAAAATGCAAAAAATTTGAAGAAAAAAAAAGTTTCTTTGTTTCTATTATAAAATTTTGCAAACAGGTAATTTTTCTCCTTCACTGATGTGCGTTGATGAGGCAGCACTGATGGCACTGATAGGCAGCACTGAAGGGCACGGATAGGCAGCACTGATAGGTGGCACTGATAGGCGGTACTGATGATGGGTACTGATAGACAGCACTGATAGGTGGCACTGACTGGCATCACTGCTGGGCACTGACTGGCGGCACTGCTAGGCACTGACTGGCGGCACTGTTAGGCACTGACTGGCGCAACTGCTGGGCACTGACTGGCACAACCGCTGGGCACTGACTGGCAGCACTGCTGGGCTGCACTGGTGGGCACGGGTGCATGGCACTGGTGGGCACAGGTGCATGGCACTGGTGGGCACAGGTGGGTGGCACTGCTGGGCACAGGTGGGTGCACTGCTGGGCACAGGTGGGTGGCACTGCTGGGCAGAAGTGGGCGGAACTGGTGGGTGGCACTGCTGTGCACAAGTGGGCAGAACTGGTGGGTGGCACTGCTGGGCACCGATCATCAGGGCACTTGATAAGTGCCTTGATCATCGGTGCCAATCCCTGCTCTGACAACTGCCGGTTCTCGGCAGTACTTTCCTCACGATCTGACAGCGTGAGGAAAGTGCAGCCGACAACTGGCAATTGCATTTCCCTGTGATCAGTGTGTCATTGGACATGGCTGATCACGTGGTAAAAGGCCGCTGTGATTGGCCTTTTACCACATTACGTGATCAGCTGTGTCCGTAGGACACAACGATCACGGAGATTGCCGGGTGCGCTCCCCCGGGGGCGCGCAGGAGAGTGCGTGCGTTCTGAGAACTGGCCGGCCGCAGTGTAGCTGTCATTCGGCTATCTGCGGTCGGCAAGTGGTTAAAGTAAAAAAAATTAGAGCCTCATCCCCCACAAACACAGACATTTCGGTTTTCGGCCACGTGCAGTCTGAATTTTCGGTTTCGGCACCAAAATTTAAATTTTGGTGCACCACTAGTGTGAACCTATACTTACATGAGATTTTGGTGATGAGTTTGCATATATTCTGATCATTTTACTGTCCCATGTTCATGTCCTGTACTGAAATAGGGCAAAGGTTGAAAATCGTGGTAAAGTTCATCTACTAGACACCAAGCAGATATTAGCTTTAGATGAATCCAATGAATCAACATACGTATACGTTGGTTAATAAGAGATGCTGTACCTTTTTTTTTCATTGTTTGTTTTTTGTTTGGTTTTTTTTTTGTCTGCTGAAAGCGTGCTGTCATTTTTTTTCTTAGGAGGAAATGGAGGGCGGAATTTTCAGTAACGTGTCGTAATTAAAGACACAGCCTGTTCAGAGTTTTTAATTCATGGAAAATGAGACGTTGGCGGAAAAAGGAAGTACTGTACACCGAGCTTTGCACCCAATTGTTCATTGTTTCCAGCTGACCAACTTTTTTAAGGCTCGTGCACACAGACAAAAAAAAAGCCATGTTTGTAGCTGTATAACGTATACAAATCAGAACACAGGTGCATTATTGTCTATGGGACAATGCACACAGCTGATCATCCAGAGCCATAAAATAACTGAAATTGTAATGTTTGAATCCAGTAAGTTACACATGTATGCAGCTATATGCAAGTAGCAGAAATTCCTATGCAATGTCCTTTTGTCTCTTACATACAGTTGACCATGCTTATCAGATGACATTTTCCTTGTTGGTTTGAATCCCAACCACGGCACCACCTGCCTGGAGTTTACATGTTCTTCCTGTGCCTGTGTGGGTTTCCTCTGGGTACTCTGGTTTTCTCCCACACTCCAAGGACATGCTGGTAGGTGAATTGGCCCCTGTCTAAATTGGCCCTATCCAGAGGAAACCCACACAGGCACAGGGAGAATATGCAAACTCCAGGCAGGTGGTGCCATGGTTGGGATTTGAACCAATGACCTGACCCTAGTACTGCTAGGCAGAACTGCTGCCCATTTAACCATTGTGCTGGCCATTTATTTTGTCTAACTCCTGTATATCCATACGTTTTCAGATTGTGTTGTACGCATCCTGTCCTGTCCAATTGTCTGTCATGCAGGCAAACCTCTAGAGGCTGCAGAGTCCTCTGGAGCAGTGATCTCCAAACTGCGGCTCGGGGACCAGATGCGGCCCTTTGCTTGCTTTTATCCATCGCTCGAGACATTATTCCTCCCACTTCAAGCAACAGTGTAACATAGTTTCTACCATTGACACTAACGATGGGGCACTGATCCTATCATTGACATCAATGATGGGGCACTGATCCTATCATTGACACCAATGATGGGGCACTGATCCTATCATTGACACCAATGATGGGGCACTGATCCTATCATTGACACCAATGATGGGGCACTGATCCTATCATTGACACCAATGATGGGGCACTGATCCTATCATTGACACCAATGATGGGGCACTGATCCTATCATTGACACCAATGATGGGGCACTGATCCTATCATTGACACCAATGATGGGGCACTGATCCTATCATTGACACCAATGATGGGGCACTGATCCTATCATTGACACTAATGATGGAACACAATTCCTCCTACTGACATCAATGATGGGGCACTATTCCTATCATTGACACCAATGATGGGGCACTATTCTTCCTATTGATACCAACAATGGGGCACTATTCCTTTCATTGGTAATAATGATGGGGCACCATTTCTCCCATTGATACCAATGATGGTGCACTATTCCTCCCATTGATACCAACAAATGGGCAATATTCCTTCCATTGATACTAACGATGGGGCACTACTATTGATTTCTATTTCTCTCATTGATACTAATGATGGGGCACCATTTCTCCCATTGACACCAATGATGAGGCACTATTTCTCCCATTGACACCAATGATGAGGCACTATTTCTCCTATTGACACCAATGATGGGGCACTATTGCTGCTATTGAAACCAGTGATTTCCCCATTAATACGAACGATGGGGTACTATTCCTTTCATTGATACTAATGATGGGGCACTATTCTTCCCGTTGATACTAATGATTGGGCACTTTTTCTCCCGTTGATACCCATGTCAAATTAGGATGAACAGCTGTGTCTGCGCAGCCAATGCGTCCCCATATACTAAGGCTGGCCATATACATATAGATTTTCGCACGAGAATATTCGTAAGAAAAGTCGTACGAAAATTCTTTGAACATTCGATGAATGGATGAATGTCGTTTGAAAATTTTCTTTTGCTTTTAACATTCAACTTTACAAGGAATGTAATTTCTGAACAATAACCACATACACTGGCCGAAAATTAATTTGATCGAGAAAAGTTTTCCTTCCTGCCCCTTTTGAATTTTCACTTCACCGCTGTCAAAAATGAACTTCGAATATTCTTGAAACGACAATCTGTACGTGTATGGCCAGCTTAAAGCTGGCCGTACACAAGTAAAATTTTGTTTGTAATTTTTTAAGATCATTCGTTTGATTTTCAAATGGTTAATGGGGTCAAAATGATGTTTGTTTTCAACCATAGCAAAGAGAACATTTAAAGAGAAAATCAGATTGTTCGAGATTTTTGCATGCTGCTCTCAGATCAAATATAAGAGTGCTACTAAGCGTAGGAAAATTCTCGTACGATCCAGTACAACGTCCTGTGTGTAGCAACGTAACAGCATGTAATTGAAAGTGAGGCCATGTACGTGTAACACCTCTGCAAACAATTACCAAATTGAAGCAATAAGATTATCACTCCATTATTGCTATTATTCATATTTCTACACTGAAAACGATATTTGTTTTTCATATTAGGAGCATTTTTATTGTTTATGAATGAAGATTGTTTTCATTGTCATTTTTCCTTCCAGGTTGTTTTCATGTTTCCAATCATGCGTGGTCTTGGTCACTCGCTTTTTTACCAACAAATCCTGTACTAAACTTAAAGTGTTACTAAACCCACAACAGTGAAATCAGTCTGTTTATGCACTAAAGCATGCTTGTTATACTCACTGTGGAACATAAGGGGTTAATCCTATGCATTGTGTAAAAAGGCTGTTTGATCCTGTGTTCTCTGCTCCTTCCCTTCTTCTACTGTCCCCAATCCATCTGCTGATAGAACAGAGCCTTGGGGGCAAGCTGCACATGCTCAGTGTGGTGTGTATTGCTAGAGAGTTTTTTTTTTTGGAAGAGTACATGTGATCAGCACATGGCCAATCAGCACTGTCCAGATAGAGGTCGGGGGTTCTGCATCCTCCTAGAGCAGAAAGAAAACTCCTCCTACAAGCTTTAACCAGTGCTCTGCTGGACACTCATAGAAGTCACAAGACTGCTCTAACTGCTGATGAGAAAAGGTATTTAGCAGTTTATATTTACTAAAATAATTGCATTTCCATGCTCTGTGTACTGTAAGAGATCAGATATAGTGAATGCAGGGTCCTTGGTTTAGTAACACTTATTTGTTTCTTCCAAGAAAAATTTTCAAGCTTGTGCCTTTGAATATTTTCGCATGAACTGTTATGATTGGCTCTCCAAAGTTGTGTACCAATGAATAGACTATTGGATGATGACTCTGAATGTGTTTTCTTTTTGTCCCGATTTTCTCATCGTGTGTAGTAGGCGTAACAGTGTATGTTGTTATTATTATTATTATACAGGATTTATATAGCGCCAGCAGTTTGCTCAGCGCTTTACAATATAACGGGAGACAATACAGCAACAATACAGTTCAATACAAGAGGATTAGGAGGGCCCTACTCCTTGGAGCTTACAATCTAGGAGGACGGGGTGAGTGGTACAAAAGAAAAATAACTATAGGGGATGAACTGGTAGGAGGTGTAGAAGATTACATTTTGGCTGAGGGTAGGATAGGCTTACCTAAAGAGATAGGTTTCAGAGATCGCTTAAAAGTGAGCAGAGTAGGCGGTAGTCTGATAAATCGGGGTAGAGAGTTCCAGAGGATGGGGGAAGCTCTGGAGAAGCCCTGGAGACGAGCATGGGAGGAGGAGATCAGGGAGCTAGAGAGTAGGAGGTTGTGCGACGAGCGGAGAGTACGGTTTGGGTGATATTTAGATATTTATAGATATAGATTTTTAGATTTATAGATTTAGATATTTAGAGACAAGATTGGAGCTGTAATTTGGGGCAGATACATGGCTTTATACATTATTGTTAATGTTTTGAATTTTATCCGTTGGGCAATGGGAAGCCAGTGGAAGGATTGGCAGAGAGGGGTGGCAGATACAGAACGGTTAGAAAGGTGGATGATTCTGGCAGCAGCATTCATGATAGACTGAAGAGGGGATAGCCTGCGATGAGGTAGGCCAATGAGGAGGGAGTTACAATAGTCAAGGCGAGATATAACAAGGGAGTGAATAAGTTGCTTAGCGGTTTCCGAGGTTAAAAACGGCCGTATCTTGGAGATGTTGCGGAGATGAAGTCTACACGATTTGGACAGTGATTGTATGTGGTATTTGTCTCGTCAAACCCATTCTTTCCAAAGAAAGAAATTTTGCAGTACTTTTGAACAACAGTTGTCAAGTTGTCAAACATACTGATAATTTTTTACTAAAATTTGAAAATCTATAGTGCAGTAAAAACTTTACACAGGCTGCCTGCATACAGCACCTGGTGGCTCAAGCCACAGGAGGCCTTAAAAATTAGCGTATTCAGCCA